CCCTTGTTACTCTTCTATTTCCTTGATGATATATTTATTGTTATTGGTATATTTTAGGATCTGATAAAATTCAAAAGTTATCTCATAAGTATACTTAATTATAGAAGTGAGTGACATGTTTATTTCATTACTAACAGCCATAATTTGTCCTCAAATTACTGAATGCCATAAAGATTCCAGATCAACATTGTGAATTTTCTTATATTTTGATAATTAGAATGTATATCTCATGCACATTTTCTGGTCCCATTAGTTGCAGACCTTGTACTCTGGAATCCAACTGGGGTGAACTTCCTTGTAGTGAAGGGTAGCTGTATTGATATTTATGAAGTTTCAAGTGGCAAAGTTAAGCACTCTGTGGACTTCAAAGAAAGAATTCAGACACTAGTCTTTATCACAGTGAGTATATTCATTATTCATGTATTGTAACTGTTTCCTTGAACAGTTAGAGAGCATTGTAGAAAAAATATGTAACTTCCTGTTATCCTACAAAGTTACTCAGCACCTGTTTTTAACCTGTTTTAATAACTCTCCCACAATCACAGGAGGACATTGTTGCAGTTGGTGGTGAAGGAAAGAATATTTGTTTGTATGATATTACAAACCAAATAGAAATTGTTCAATGGCCGGCCCACAGTATGAGAATCAAAAGTCTTAAAAAGATTGCCAGAACTGCAGTAGAAGAAGTGTGGCTTGTCTCAGCATCCACAGATGGCTTCATTAAAGTGTGGAAACTTGAGGTAACATTACTGTGTATGGTGACAACAATTGTTATGATTATGACAATAGTGGTAATATTATTAAGGATATTGTCTTTATAATTCTTATCATCATGATGCTATTATTGCTATTATTATTATTGTTGTTGTTTTTTTGTTATTAGTAGTAGTAATAGTGTGGTAATGATTATTATCATTACCATGATTATTGATATTGTTATTACCATAATTACCATTTTATCACTACTATGTTAAAGGTTCTGTTGTTACAATTGTCATTTATATGCCTATGTCTTTCTTTCATTCCTTACTAATTGATGTGATTTCTACAGCTGTTGTCACTTCAGAAAAAACCCAGACTTATAGGAAAAGTAGATATCTCATGTCGTATTACCTGCATGGATATTCGCATAAGCCGTCAGAAGGTAACTATCAAAAAGGAAGAGGAAGGGGAAGAGGACGCTAAAGATGCTAATGATGGAGAAGAGGTAGATGATGTCAAAGAATCACATGATGAAGAGGAAGAGGAGGAGGAGGAGGAGGAAATAGAAAAATCAGGTGATGAGGAGGAGGAGGAGGATGACCTGGATGATGAAGATGACATTGAAGATGAAGAGGATAAAGAGGATTTAGAAGGTGAAGTAGAAGGTTTGGAAAAGTTGGAAGATGATTCAGACAGCCAAGAAAGCTACTTGGAAGAAGATGATTTTGAAGAGGAAGATTTTGGAGATATGGAAGATACCAAAAAGGAGGAGATTGATGTAAATGATTTAGAAAGTTCAGAAGAAGAGGCAGAAGATATTGTCGGAAAGAAGAGGAATGATGCTAATGGAAAGGAGGTTAAAACTACTGTCAAACAGAAGGGAAAGAATGGCAATGTCCAGGGCAAAAAAGCACAAAAGAGGAAAAAGAAAGGTAAAGGGAAGCCTCTCTCCAATAAGAACAGTCCATCTGGCCAGAAAACAAAGAAAATGAAAATGAAATAGTGTTTTTTAAATATATGTAAAATGTACAATTTGCTTTTTATTTGTCCAGCTATTTTCTATTGATTGTTTCTGATGCACAGACAGTAAAATAATCTATATTTTCAAAGACAGAGTGAAAGTAAAGTAATTGATAGTATATGGTTATCTAAATTAATGAGGAAAGTAGTTTTATATATCATTCTACATATTGTACTCACTAAGACATAGAAAGAGAAAGTACAGACAGAGGGGGTAAGGATTCTTTGGTGTTCTCTATTTATTTGTACAATTATGAAATTCTGAAGAATGAAAAAAAAAATCCATGTTTGTATTTTGTACAATACTTAGAATTTTGCTACCTTGATTTTCTCAATCTATATTTTCAAGACCAGAGTGAAAGTAAAGTATTGATCGTATATGGTATCTAAATTAATGAGGAAAGTAGTTTTATATATCATTCTACCTATTGTACTCACAAAGACAGAAAGAAAAAGTTACAGACAGAGGGGGGTAAGGATTCTTTCGTGTTCTCTATTTATTTGTACAATTATGAAATTCTGAGAATGAAAATAAAAATCCATGTTTGTATTTTGTACAATACTTAGAATTTTTGCTACCTTGATTTTCTCATGGTAAAAGCATAAGGTAACAGTGCTATAGCATGATTGTAATAAGATTTGTTTTATTACAATTTTTTTTTTTTTTTAAATATATGTAAAATGTACAATTTGCTTTTTATTTGTCCAGCTATTTTCTATTGATTGTTTCTGATGCACAGACAGTAAAATAATCTATATTTTCAAAGACAGAGTGAAAGTAAAGTAATTGATAGTATATGGTTATCTAAATTAATGAGGAAAGTAGTTTTATATATCATTCTACATATTGTACTCACAAAGACAGAAAGAAAAAGTACAGACAGAGGGGGGTAAGGATTCTTTAGTGTTCTCTATTTATTTGTACAATTATGAAATTCTGAAGAATGAAAAAAAAATCCATGTTTGTATTTTGTACAATACTTAGAATTTTGCTACCTTGATTTTCTCATGGTAAAAGCATAAGGTAACAGTGCTATAGCATGATTGTAATAAGATTTGTTTTATTACAATTTTTTTTTTTTTTTTTTTTTTTTTTTTTTTTTTTTTTTTAAATATATGTAAAATGTACAATTTGCTTTTTATTTGTCCAGCTATTTTCTATTGATTGTTTCTGATGCACAGACAGTAAAATAATCTATATTTTCAAAGACAGAGTGAAAGTAAAGTAATTGATAGTATATGGTTATCTAAATTAATGAGGAAAGTAGTTTTATATATCATTCTACATATTGTACTCACAAAGACAGAAAGAAAAAGTACAGACAGAGGGGGGTAAGGATTCTTTAGTGTTCTCTATTTATTTGTACAATTATGAAATTCTGAAGAATGAAAAAAAAAATCCATGTTTGTATTTTGTACAATACTTAGAATTTTGCTACCTTGATTTTCTCATGGTAAAAGCATAAGGTAACAGTACTATAGCATGATTGTAATAAGATTTGTTTTATTACATTTTTTTTTTTTTTTTTTTTTTTTTTTTTTTTTTTTTTTTTTTTTTTTTTTTTTAAATATATGTAAAATGTACAATTTGCTTTTTATTTGTCCAGCTATTTTCTATTGATTGTTTCTGATGCACAGACAGTAAAATAATCTATATTTTCAAAGACAGAGTGAAAGTAAAGTAATTGATAGTATATGGTTATCTAAATTAATGAGGAAAGTAGTTTTATATATCATTCTACATATTGTACTCACAAAGACAGAAAGAAAAAGTACAGACAGAGGGGGGTAAGGATTCTTTAGTGTTCTCTATTTATTTGTACAATTATGAAATTCTGAAGAATGAAAAAAAAATCCATGTTTGTATTTTGTACAATACTTAGAATTTTGCTACCTTGATTTTCTCATGGTAAAAGCATAAGGTAACAGTACTATAGCATGATTGTAATAAGATTTGTTTTATTACATTTTTTTTTTTTTTTTTTTTTTTTAAATATATGTAAAATGTACAATTTGCTTTTTATTTGTCCAGCTATTTTCTATTGATTGTTTCTGATGCACAGACAGTAAAATAATCTATATTTTCAAAGACAGAGTGAAAGTAAAGTAATTGATAGTATATGGTTATCTAAATTAATGAGGAAAGTAGTTTTATATATCATTCTACATATTGTACTCACAAAGACAGAAAGAAAAAGTACAGACAGAGGGGGTAAGGATTCTTTAGTGTTCTCTATTTATTTGTACAATTATGAAATTCTGAAGAATGAAAAAAAAAATCCATGTTTGTATTTTGTACAATACTTAGAATTTTGCTACCTTGATTTTCTCATGGTAAAAGCATAAGGTAACAGTGCTATAGCATGATTGTAATAAGATTTGTTTTATTACAATTTTTTTTTTTTTTTTTTTTTTTTTTTTATTTTATTATCATTTTTTATTGTTATTATAATGTAATTACTTTCTGATTTGTAGTTACAGGTATACAAAATATTAGAAAACTTCCAACAGCTTAAGATTGATCATTACCATTGCATTTATTTACCAGTTGGTTAACTGGCTGACTTCTTAGATATTGGTTAACAGAATTATATCAAATGTTACTGAGGGACTGTAATGGAAATTTATGGCTGAGCTACCTGTGGCTCAAGAGACCCTCTGATAAGATTTTGTGAAGATCTAGGATTGGTAGATATGTACTAGTAAAGAATTGATGTCTGGGGTGGATGAGGGTAGATTAAGAGCAGATTTGTTTGATAAAAGTAACATAGAACTGTGGGGTCAACTAATGTTAAGCACTCTAGGTAGATTTATTTTATTTTTATGAACTAATGGTGGAGGTTTGCATTCATGGTGTGCTTTCTAAATCTTCAAGAAGATTCATAGTCAGCACTTAAAACTGGTAGGACTATACAGCAACAAGAGTTTGATTTTTGCCTACCATTCCTAAGTCTCTTTTGGAATTTTTGTACCTGCTTCTTAAATATTCATTTCACAATAAACTGCCATAAATGGTTGTGTTCCAATGGGGTTTAATTAATTAAGTAAATATCAAAAGAAATATAAAAGTCCAGCATATAAAGCAAATAGGACAGTCTATACGGTCTCTGAAATGAGCAACTTCCCTAGTGCTATAATATCCAAGTATATAGTAATTTCTGCACATACATTTACAAATGAAATAGTTAAGTACAAAGGTACCATATACCACCATTTCTCTCCATTTCCATTTGCAATGATGAAATATGCTGGAAACACAAGGGTTAAAATACTAAATAAAAAGTCAATATCTTTATTGTCTAATGACTAGAACCCTAGGATTCTCTCTCCTAGAGGAATATGTCCCCAAAATGTCTTCTCTGGAATGCACAGTAAACTATTGTACTACTCTGTAATGTACCGATATGTAAACAGTGGATTCCTTATTCCCCAAAAAAACCATGAAAACAGATCTATGCAAGAACTGTGATTGAATATTGAAGGTGACATTACAATACACTCTTTAACATAGGCTTCTTCTTCTAATATTAAATAAATGAAAACAAATAATGCATACCACTAAATACACTGTCTTGACTATTTCTCCTATGTAAAAGAAATATCATTAAAGGAGTTACCATGTTACAGTTGCTACATATTCCAAAATGTGCTCTGCTAATATTTAGTCCTTAATCTGACTAAACATATATCTGGAGATATGACACACATCTACTCTTCATAGCGAAGGTCAAGATCAGAAAATCAAACAAACGCATTATATAATAATATCAACAAAGATAATTATTAAATATCCCAGGGCATGAATAACTATTCAGATAATACAACCCCATAATTAAGTTTTTGAGAAACATTGTGAAATAATATTAAAGGAGAAGAAGAAGAAGAAAAGTTATTTGGTCATGAAGCTAAAACATGTAATTCTAGATTTACAGTAGAGTCCCATTTCTGAATCTGTCCTGTAAAATCAAATATCAGAAATGACAATTACTCCCATAAGGAGAACAAGAAAAATATGTACCCCTACCTCCTGCCCAGACTTCATGACTCTCAAAATACACATAAATAATTGAATTTAGTAAAGTAAAACCCCTTTAAATAAATTGCTAAATCAATTATAGAACTAAGTTTTGTAGATTGTGCTATCTTTTCCTCTTGCCGTTTTCATTAATGTCCTGATAGCCGTTTTTGAGGTGGATAAGAGGAGCACAAATGTCAAAGAGGGAGTGGGCAATGACCACAATAAATGCTGCATAGGAGGGACTAGAGGGGTGGAAGGCACAAGATGTGTTCCAAGAGCTATGAAAAAAATCATGTTAAACCAAAATACTGCAAACAGGCAGGGTAAACCAAGAATTTACATGTATTAACTTCGTACCACAACTTCAGATTATTTTGTATATCAGATAAGAGTATCAAGGTCTCGAATGTAATGCTTATGGTTCCTTATTCATAATCAAAATTCCAATGATAATTCATTCTCTGACTGTTTAAGGAATACCAATATTTGCTCAGTTATCATTCAATATTTAAATCACACTGAATAAATATGAGACAATTTTTTTGTAATAATAAAGTCTACATATATTCTTCCCCTGAGATGTCCTTTTCACACAATACGAACTTGGTGCTTCAGTCCCCCTTTGATGGCAACTTTTGGAAACTGTGAATTCCACTGGTGTATGTATGTAATATGAATTTGTTCACAAAAACTGACATCAAGTAATTCCAAGTGTTGGCAGCTCTGCAACAACCTGGAAAACAAATATTATATAGTGGCCTTTTGCAAGTCATTCATATAAATTACATAGTTTATAATATTTTTACTTAATTTTTATTGGTGGAGATTGGAGATGAAATAAAGAACATAAAACTAAATTTCAAAATTTTTTTATTGTGGATTCTTACCTGTGCACAGCTTCCGGAGTAACATTTCTTGTGCCCATGATGTCAAGCTGTGCAAGTTCATGAGAGTGTGTCATTAAGTGATGTAGGTCATGGTCTGTTAGTGTTCTCAATGCAGTAAGATATAATCGTTTTAATCCTCGACATCCTCGTACCAACTCACCAAGACCATCAGTTATAACTCCTGACAACCTGTAAACACCATACAAAGTCTTAAATCATGTTACAAATAAAATTTAATTATGCAATTGATTCATCACTAAAAATATCTGGGGAAT